GACGTGGGGAGCTAATTAGGAAAGGTAGAGGTTAATTGGGGGCCGTGTGGGGCTATAGGGGCCGTGTGGGGTTATAGGGACCGTATGGAATTACTGGGGGCTGTATGGGGTTATATGGGGTTATATGGGGGCTATAGGGGCTGTGTGGGGTTATTAGGAGTCACGCAGGGTTATTGGGGGCCCTGTAGGGCTATAGGAGCTGTATGGGGTCATCAGGGGCCACGCGGAGTTTTTAAGGGCTATATGGGGCCGTTGAGAATTATTAGGGTCCATATAGGAACCGTAGCAGCTACCTGCAGTCATTAGGGGCCAGAAGGAGTTTTTGGGTCCCGTATGGGGCTGTAGGGAGCCGTAGGGAAATAATGGGGATCACAGGAAGCTGTGTGGGGTTATTGGAGTCCTTAGGGGACGTGGGGAGCTAATTAGGAAAGGTAGAGGTTAATTGGGGGCCGTGTGGGGCTATAGGGGCCGTGTGGGGCTATAGGGGCCAGGCAGGGGCAGCACCACGTGGGCTCGGACTTCGCCCTCCCTGGGGGTCAATGATTCACCAGGGCCAGCGTGCGAGGCGCGTGCAAGAAGGTGGTCGTGCCAGGGGAGCTCGTGCAAGGAAGGCGCTTGTGCAAGAGAGGTGCTTTCAGCGAGGAGTGCGTGGGAGTGCAAGGGAAAGGGGGGNNGGGGTTGGGCAGGGTGCTCGTGCAAAGGTTGCTGGTGAGGAAGAGGTGCTTCCGCAGGAGGTGTTTGTGTTAGAATGTTGGTTGTGCAAGGAGGGCTCGTGCAAAGGGTGTCCTGTGCGAGGAGGGCTTGTGAAAGGAAGGGGCTTGTGTAAGGAGGGCTTGTGGAGGTGATGTGCTCGTGCAAATAGGGCTTGTGGAAAGGGTGCTTGTGTGAGGAAGGCTCGTGCAAGGAAGGTGCTTGTGTAAGGAGGGCTTTGTGGAGATGATGTGCTTGTGCAAGGAGGGCTCGTGTGAGGAAGATGCTTGTGTAAGGAGAGCTTGTAGAGATGATGTGCTAGTGCAAATAGGGCTTGTGGAAAGAGTGCTTCTGTAAGGAAAGCTTGTGCAAGGAAGATGCTTGTGTAAGGAGAGCTTGTGGAGATGATGTGCTAGTTCAAATAGGGCTTGTGGAAAGGGTGCTTGTGCAAGGAGGGCTCGTGCAATGAAGATGCTTGTGTATAAGAGAGCTAGTGGAGATGATGTACTTGTGCGAGGAGGGCTTGTGCAAAGGGTGCTTGTGCAAGGAAGATGCTTGTGTAAGGAGGGCTAGTGGAGATGATGTGCTTGTGCAAGGAGGGCTTGTGCAATGAAGATGCTTGTGTAAGGAGAGCTTGTGGAGATGATGTTCTAGTGCAAATAGGGCTTGTGGAAAGAGTGCTTCTGTAAGGAAAGCTTGTGCAAGGAAGATGCTTGTGTAAGGAGAGCTTGTGGAGATGATGTGCTCGTGCAAGGAGGGCTTGTGCAAAGGGTGATTGTGCAAGGAAGATGCCTGTGTAAGGAGGGCTAGTGGAGATGATGTGCTTGTGCAAGGAAGGTGCTTGTGCAAGGAAGGCTTGTGCAGGGGAAGTGCTTGTGGAAGGAGGGCTTGTGGAGATGATGTGCTCGTGCAAGGAGGGCTTGTGCAAAATGTGCTTGTGCAAGGAGTGCTTGTGCAATGAAGATGCTTGTGTAAGAAGAGCTTGTGGAGATGATGTTCTTGTGCAAAGATTGCTTGTGTGAGAAAGATGCTTGTGTAAGGAGGGCTAGTGGAGATAATGTGCTTGTGCAAGGAAGTAGCTATTGCAAAGGGTGCTTGTGCAAGGATGGCTCGTGCAGGGGAAGTGCTTGTGTAAGGAGAGCTTGTGGAGATGATGTGCTCGTGCAAGGAGGGCTTATAAGGATGATGTACTTGTGCAAGGAGGGCTCATGTGATGAAGATGCTTGTGTAAGGAGAGCTTGTGGAAATCATGTGCTAGTGCAAGGAGGGCTTGTGCAAAGGGGTGCTCGTGCAAGGAAGGCTCGTGCAAGGAAGGTGCTTGTGTAAGGAGAGCTTTGTGGAGACGACGTGCTCGTGCAAGGAAGGCTTGTGCAAAGGATGCTTGTGCAAAGAAGATGCTTGTGTAAGAAGGGTTGTGGAGATGGTGTGCTCGTGCAAAGGGCGCTCGTGCAAGGGCTGCTTGTGCATTCACACGCGCTTGCTGAGGCCGTGGCAGCGCTCACCCCGCCTCCACTGTCTCATTAATCAAGCCACTCTCGCTGCCTGCTAATTAAGCCGGGCCGGCGCTAATTGGCCGCGCTGGGAGGTGGGGGACCCCGGGTTGAGGATTCTCTGCTGTCTGCTATGGGGTTGTGCTTGTTGGTTTTTTGGGGGGGG